CCCCGCCCCCACCCTAGTTGCAACCTCATCCTCTGGCCCCAGCATGGCCCTAGGTCCCCCGTTCACCTTGGGGGGTGGGGGCAGGCAGCAGCTAGGACGATGGTTGGGGTGTCCCCAGGGGACCCCGCGACCGCCGGCCTGTTACCCTTCTCTCAACCCAAACCCAACCTCCCGTCCAGTTTTGGGAGGTGATCAGCGACGAGCATGGCATCGACCCCACGGGCACGTACCACGGGGACAGCGACCTGCAGCTGGAAAGGATCAACGTGTACTACAATGAGGCCACAGGTAGGCTGCCCACCTTCTGGAGCCGCCGCGGAGCAGCGGGGAGGGGACAGGATGCTCCCAGCCGCCTGCGGTTCCTGGCGTCCCCAACCTACTGTCCATCTGCCTCCCCGGCAGGAGGGAATTACGTGCCCAGAGCCGTGCTGGTAGACCTGGAACCCGGCACCATGGACTCTGTCCGCTCAGGCCCCTTCGGCCAGATCTTCCGGCCCGACAACTTTGTGTTTGGTGAGTCTGTCTCCGCCAAGCCTTATCCTCATTCTGCCCACTTCCAAATGCTCCATGGTGAAAATGCACCTAGCCCCTCGGTGGCAACCACAGGGACCCGACATCCGTGGCAGTCAGGGCTGGGAGCGGGGAGGCCCAGGCCACTGTGGGAGCTCTAGGGAGGCATCTGACACAGCCAGGAATCAGGGAGGGCTTCCTGGAGGAGGTAGCGTGTTTTTAATTCGACAATCTGGACCAGAGCCATACTGCCTGGGTGTGAATTCCAACTCTTCCACTTCATGAAGTAGATAAATAGTTAATCCTGTTTCAGAAGCCGTGGATGGGGGGGGTACAAAACAGTCCGCGTCATTGCCCTGGTCGAGCAGACATCCTGGTGGAAAGAGACAGGCAAGGGAGGAGATAAAAAAGACTGCTACGGATCAAGACTGCTGGGTCACGTTGGACCAACTCAGTTTATTTATTTATTTATTTTATATAGAGAGATCTGTGCTCACCAGGGAGAGACAGAGACAGAAAGCAAGAATTCACTCCCTGGGGGGATGGTCACGCCCCAATCCCTTCTTCGTTCTCCTCTTGGGATTTTGGGCACGCACGCACACATGCCCAGCGTGAGTTTTAAGCTGCTGGGTCCGGGACTCAAACTGCAGTTGACTACATGGGAGTCCAGCAATGTAACCATTATGCCACCTGCTGGCCCCAATAATCCCTGTTTTAAGGATGAGAATCCTCAGGCACAGAGAGGTTAATAAGTCACCGTCTGGGTGTGTGTGGGGGGTGACTCCTCTCTTTCTGTCTCTCCGTCTTTCTCTGTCTCTCTGGCAAGCACACACACCCTATAGCAACTGAGTCGAACACAATGCCCGACACAGAGGACAAGGTAAATAAGCAATTTGTGATTGTTCTCTTTCCTTTGTAAGTTTGTTTTATTCCTTATACAGAGTACAAGCATGCGCACTAGAGGGACAGAGAGACGCACCCGTAACTGGTCTCTGCGTGCCAAAACCCTCTTCCTCGCCCTCCAGCTGTTTTTTATTGATTTATTTATTTTCAAGAGCTTTTTGCTATAGGGCGCGTGTGCTCGCCAGAAAGACAGAAAGAAACAGAGAGACAAAAAGCGAGAAATCACCCCCCAGGGAGGATGGCCACGCCGCAATCCCTTCTCCTCCATTCTCCTCTCGGGATCTTGGGCACGCACGCACAC